TGAATCATAAGCACTCCCTAAATTTCCATAAGTAGCTACCTCTCCATGTTTGTCGCCAATCTGTTTTGCTATGCTCAGTCTCTTTTCGTGATATTCAATCGCCTTGTGATATTCTCCTAATGATCCATAGGCAATCCCTAAATTTCCATAAGCAGTGGCTTCCCCTAATTTGTCACAAATCTCTTTAGCAATTCTCAGTCYCTTTTCTTGATATTTAATCGYCTTGTGATATTCTCCTAATGAAAAATAGGCACTCCCCAAATTTCCATAAGTAGCTCCTTCTCCCTGTCTATCGCCAATCTGTTTTGCTATGCTCAGTGTCCTTTCGTGACATTCAATCGCCTTTCGATATTCTCCCAATGATTCATAAGCAATTCCTARATTTCCATAAGTACCTCCTTCTCCMTGTCTGTCGCCAATCTCTTTAGCAATGGCTAGGCTTTTTYCGTGATATTCAATCGCCTTTTGGTACTTTCCTAATGAAGAATAGGCAATCCCTAAATTTCCATTACTATCTCCTTCTCCCTGCCTGTCGTCAATCTCTTTAGCTATGCTCAGTCTCTTCTCATGACATTCAATCGCCTTGCGATATTCTCCTAATAATTGATAGGCAATCCCTAAATTKCCATAAGMTTTTCCCTCTCCTTGTCTGTCTCTAATGTCAACAGCAATTCTTAGACTCTTTTGGTGATGTTCAATAGCCTTGGGATATTCACCTAATGATTTATAGGCAATCCCTAAATTTCCATAAGTACCTCCTTCTCCCTGAATGTCGCCAATCTCTTTAGCAATGGCTAGGCTTTTTTCATGATATTTAATCGCCTYGTGGTATTCTCCTAATGAAGAATAGGCAACCCCTAAATTTCGATAAGCTTCTCCTTCTCCTTTTCTGTCACTAATGTTTATAGCAATGTTTAGAATCTTTCGGTGATGGTCAATTGCCTTGTRATATTCCCCAATTGATTGGTAGATAATTCCTAACTTGYTGTCGATGCGCATCTCTAGCTCRCCAATRCCAGAAATAAAGGTTCGAATATTTTCGTAACAATGRATTGCCTTCTCTGGTTGATGGACGAGACGATATAAATCACCAAGTGCATTATAAATACAGATAATGGTWTTGATATCAAGTAGAAAATGAGCCATCACCAAACATTCCTCTAACAAGGAGATCAGTTCTTCTCTTGATGGCTTTGTGAGGTTAAGAAGACAACGATGATATGCATACGACACGCAAAACCTGATGAAAMCTTGTGCGATCTTTAAATCCATAGCCGTGGTAATATATATCTGTGTGTTGGCTTTAATTCTAGAGAGATAAATGTGACGTTAAAATTGTGCAGTATTGCATTTGTTCGCCTGTTTGTTTTTGTGATAAAATATGCTTTTTAGTCCTGGATTTTACGTCAAAAATAAGTWCCATGTAGTGAATCTCGTTCATTTATGATTCAGGCATACGTTCTTAATGTTATTCCCAAACTCCTGAGCTTAACAATTTGCGCATTGCATTGTGGTCTAGATTTGGTACAGACATCTTTCGCAAGGCCAAATGGTGTTATATATCTGATATAGAACTAATTAATTAAACATCACTGCTTTATCGGGATATAAAGGCCCATCATGTGACCCAATAGACCCCTTGCAGTTCATGGGAATGCGGCTCCAACTGGAGGACAAAACAATRGATTYTAKTTCCMAAGAGGWTAAAAATMTTTTGTTTTGTCCTCCAGATGAAGCTGCTTTGACGTCACATGCAAGGGGTCTATAGTTCGATGCTCATTGGACTAATAGCTCATGGATTATTAATGAGTCCTAGAAGTGTACTGAAGCTAGAACATAATCCACTGTGTACTTCAGAGAATTCCAACTGGCTACGTTGGTGACAAATACGGTAATACAGCAGTTGCAATTGATGATTAAAATATCAACATTCCTGCTATACATCAAAAGCACTCGAGCAAATCATCCAAAACAAAAACTAACSAAAACATGAGGTTGATAACAATTTTTGATTTTTGTSCAGTTTGATTTCATTGGCGGTAAATATGTATGATTTCGAGAAACCTCGGGGCACGGGTGTACAAAMAAAGGTGRTAAACTGTTAAATCTTGATCTATCATGATAGGTTTGATTAACCCTTTTATAACGCCCAATCGTACGAATTTGTACGATAATCGACCACTCTCTTTTAAAAAAWTCMMTTTTCTCTGTTAAGTGACCAAGGTGCTAACAACGTCTTGAGTGTGTTGTTTAGGACATTACCTGGCTGCTAAATTCTAAACTAAGACTTCTGCTTCTTTTCCGTGACCATTACGGTCACTTTTGTTTTGGTGAGATCTGAGCTGCWCACGCTTAMAATTTAKACGAGGACACTAGAGAATGGCTTGAATTCTTTCCATTCCTACTCCTCAAAATCCTTACATTCATGCCGAAACTCAACTTTTTCAGAAAGTCTGACACATTGACTTTGYATTGRTCAGTTTATTGTCTATTGATTTATTCTGTAAGCGGAGAAAAAGCTCCTTTCTTTAGGTCCACTCCCYGACTTRCATGTTTTCTTGCGTTACACTCGCACAGATTTATGRGTAATTGCGTATTTTTTCGACAAGAACTAACCCGTACTCTGCATTTTCAATATTTTTTGAAATCAGTGCTGAAATCGTTTTTTTACACTTTTCACCTTTAAATCGGTTAAAAATTCCCCAGAAATTTGGGCATTAAAGGGTTAAGGTACATATAAGCTGCTGCTTTTTACAACATTTGTTAACTTTAAAGTATATTAATAAGATAGAAATATGATATTCATTGAAATTCGGTATCAGTGATGTGTTAATCCTTACCGTTCAGTCAGTATCAGCGATGAGTAGAATAGACTTCCACTTGATTGCAGACAGATTACTAAATAATTGATGCCCTCGAGTAAAGATTTCTTAGTTGAGCTGAAATTAGAAGAACGCCATATTTTGAAACCTCAAACTCAATAATAACATTGCCTGATACATTAACCAACATCAAACATAATTTTCCTTTAACGAATCTCTTCAGTATCATTWATTGGTTTCCATTTATCTTTACTGTGTATTTATATTATTGTACAAATACATTTTTCGAGACACTTCGAGCATCATCCGCATCTTACATTTTTACCAAATATCACCCACATTCAAACGCAAATAATTCAGTAACTACACGCTCAAAGAACTCTAAATCTCACAAATCTACGTAGTTTTGAATGCTCTAAAAGGATATGAATGTTATATTTCAGTACGATTATGAATAAAGCTTTTGGAGTTCGAGACAAGGTCATTTTATTTTTGTCTGTGAATTATCAAKTGATTGAAAACGAAGAATCAACATGTCATTTCTTACCTTACTGTTCAGTCAGAATCAGAGTCGCGGTCCAATTGCATTAAATGATTGATTTCCTCAAATAAGGATTTCTTAGTTGAGCTGAAATTCGAAGAATAGCTAAGTTTTAAATAGTCAAACTCAATAACAACAGACCTTTCGTTTCGAACAAGGAAGTAGCTATCAGCTTGCAGTGCAAATACTGCCTTCCCATTGGCTGATTCATTAACCCATGACGTCAACATAGTACTTTATCTAAATAACATTGAAAATATTTGTGTTTCGAAAGGTCTTTGAAGAAACTGAAAATCAAAATTCAACTAGACGCTYCTGGAGCGTGAAGTCGGACTGGCTATTTTTGAAAATTGATAGAGAGAGGAAATTACATGGATGCGCGTATAGGAGAGCGAATGAAAGGTTTTAAAACACGATAAGATTACGATGTTATATTCTGTCTAATCATATGATTATATTATGAATGTAAATTATGGCGTGGAATATATATTTCTTCTAATACATAGTGAAAGCAAGAATGCGTTACTTTAACTCTAATTAATGAACTGTTCAAAACCGTTTATTCACACGATACGATATTCTTTTTGACTGCTCTCTGCAACGACTTCAAAACGATACAAACCTAAATTTGACCTAAAAGGTCATGTGATTAATACCCTGCGAACAGAGTGTATTTTTTAAAATACTGAAAACACTGAATTGATAAAATCAAACGTGGTAGACTAAATGTCGCTAAGTGATATCATGATATCCAATACGTATTTAATTCAAATTGTTCACCTCTTAGACCAAGAAAATAAATAATTTAAAAAATAAAAGATGCCTATAAAATAATCAAAGTCGCCTTTTTGCTTTATTGATAAGCAAAATTTCTTTTTGTTCTAATTTGAAGTCTTTGCCCAAACAAGACTGTCTAACGCTAGAATTCAGTTTCGTAAGYATACTAATGATGCATTCCGATGAGATCACAGATACCACRATTGTAAACGAATAGTTTTTTATCACATAAAAGCGCAAGTAGCATCTAACATTTACTAACGATGTACATCTATACGTTTGATCTTCCGGTCATGAACTAATAAAGCCAACCAATASTTATTTATTAAATTCTTAACTTCCGGTGGTCCAGACGCGACATGATAGATAGATAGATAGATTGGCTAAAAGGTAAAACTCAAGTCGATCTAGCCTTCGGCTAGTCCGATAAATTAGTAACTATCGAATATCCCACATCCTAAAAACATAAGTTTTTATACATTAAGTTTAGATGCATKCAGTGCGTTATCAACAGAATGCATTCTAAAATGCCAACAATTGTATCCTTGAGTCTTGATTGAGGATTAGAAGGAGCCAGTAAGATCTGGCCATTTTTGTCACTTTCGTGTGCAGCAAAGTGGATCACGGACACGCCTTGCTTTAGTTTCTCAAAAATTATTTCATTTGTTGCTTGTTTTCATATCAATGGTTGAACACCGAGGTGTCACGTACCGATTTCTTTGACAGTTTCTTTTTCTGCACCAGGTAAATCACATGTAGGGTTTCCAATGATCAGTGCCCCTGACTTTAACGAATCAACTATCATTAGTAATTTATATTTTTGGGGGGTCTGGTATCTTAGGAAGTGCACTAGGAACTTCTAGATAATGATGCAAAAAAGAAGTATAATTGAAGACAGAACTGGCACTGTTCAATCATAGCGGAATTTTCTGCATAGCAATACAACATTTGCTCTTAGCAATATTTTCTATAGGATTCATCAATTAAAAGAAGAATAGATTTAACTCGGTGTGCGTGCGAGGCATCCATTCTAAKAAAGGGTCTCATCCATGCACGTTCATTTATTGAAAATGTAGTTCCTAACCTTCGGGTTTTATACACTTATTGGGGAACTTACAATAAAAGTACATTCAAACTGCGAAATGACACACATTCGGCAAAAATGTGCATACAAAAAAAAAATGAAACAAAAAAGCTAGTGTGGACACTGAATATATSCAACAGGAATTTTGGAGAACAATGCGTCCGCCATCTTGACAAGYTGGACTCGGATCACACAATTATAACTCTTAAAGAAATTTGAAAAGGTTCTCAGCTAATGTCAAGTTAATATAATACGATAAAACAACGATATATTAGTTGACTTTGCAACTACGAAATGTGTTCTAAAGGCACATTTTTCAAGATGATGGACGCTTTATTCTCCGAAACTCCCCCCATGTATATGCTTTTCTAAGAAGTTCCCTCACGTTCATCCATAACTCCATCTAGCATGGATAAAACAAGTTTTGTGAAGATTTTTATACTATCAATATTGGAATAGATTCTCTTAATGTACACATTCAATGCTCGAACGTGTAAAGAAATCCTACCTTAGAATAATTTTCGTCTGAGGATTCTTGTAGAATTTTCAGAGTCGTTAGGGAAGGAGCCAGGCGAATGAGCTTAGTTTCCGAAAAATACTTGCAGGTCACACTTGATCACGAAGAGCAGCAAATGGCACCATGAACAGAGGACCGTCAGGAATGATGATCACCTCGTCGTTGGTCAGATGGTTGATTACTGGAGAAAGAAGTCTATGGGAGAGCTTGCCGAGAGGCTCGATATCGTCTCCATCATCCGCTAACCATCTGTCAACCTGTCGAAAAACTGTGAGGGCAATTTCTCTGAGCTTCGAAGACTTTGTAGCGCCTGCAGACTCGTCTAGTAAGTTTATCGATTGGTCATTACTTCTCTAAGGCGCAGCTGGCGAAAAACTGCTGTCAGCGAGATATTGAAAATATGTTAACATTTATAATGTTTTTTCTTTATAGCTTCGATGTTGTCCATCATTTTATCATAAAAGAATGTTGATGGATTTTGGGATGATATGACCCAACAATGGTAAGTTACCTTGTTGTAGCTAGCCTAACCTCCTTACTGCACATTAAATAGTTCACAATCCTTATATGGTCAATAAAACAGCCAATCATAATATAGATAGATATTTTTACTGAATCAGGATTTAGTCAGTTTGAAAAACGATATGAAAATACAAATTGTTTTTGTCTGTTTTCCGTTTTGTTTTTCACGAGATGGAAAACTTGCTTTTTCTTCAAAACTTGGTTCAATTCTCTTCGTTTAGAGAAAGAAAGACGATAGACTCACGAAGTTAACGTTGTGGTTCAGTGACCATGCACAAAAGAATTGCAGACGAGGCTCCGGTGAAATAAAAGAATAAATCAAGATTATTCATTGTTTTCCCGGAGCCTCGTGTGCGTTCTTTTGTACATAATCATCGAACCAAAATATCTAAAGTTGACTATTGGCGCTTTTTGAAGTAATTTTATGCGGGCGGTGGACGCAGAATTAGGTGTTCGATTTCTGTGTTGTGAAGTTCGAGTAGGCCGTTTTATTCGGATAGATTGTATGTAGACTATTTTTGCCGATATAAGTTTTCTGTTAACTTTATCAATTGACATTTTTACAGATTATAATAACTTCGTCCAACTGAACAAAATCGTGCGAAATCTCATAAGCATACTCTTTCTTTTGTATAACCTTTTTGAGCTAAGCCAATATAATAAATATAGTTATAATACATTTGTTCACATGTAAACAAAAGATGTTTTTATTTTTGGGTCCGGTATTCTAGTCATTCTCGCTCTGTGATTGGCTAGCGCGCGGTCCGGTTTTTCACGATCTGCCCGGTCCACGGTATCCTGCAGCTAGGCTGCGAGCAAATTTGCATAAAATACAAATAAAAAAAATATACTGTCAAGACCTCGGACAGTGTTTTCGGACCTCTCAGCCGGTAAATAACGTATATTATACATTGCTTGAAATATCGTATACCTAAACTCAATTTAAGTTCAATTCCAGTTTAATTCAATATTTTAAAGGTACAATACGAAAAATGCTAATTGAGATTATAGCTTATTAAAATCTATATAAAAAAACGTAGAACATCAGTGTAATATGAGCTACAAATAATCTGTCCGTCATTCAGTACTGCTATGTAGTGAGGATGACAATCGAGCTTATTTGTCTCTCCAACATAGCGACCATCTAATGTAAACTTAGAAACTTTCATAGATTTAAAATCACAGACCAGAAGATTGTTGTCATTGTCAATAGCTAGACTAAGAGAATCAAGTAGCCGACCATCTGTGCAGTCCTCCCCACCAATAGTGTTTACTGTAGTTGGTGACTGGTTGTCTTTCATCTCAATCACGTGTACCACTGAATTTTCGAAACTGACGTAAAACAGTCCATTGTGTTTAACTACATCATATGGGTTGTCTTCTCCTGGTATTGTAAACTGATATAGATAGTCACCATTCTTTGTGAACACTTGAACGCGATGATTGTCACGATCACACACAATGATGTTAGAATCATCATCAACATGTACTCCACGTGGGTTATTGAACTGTCCATCCATGTTGCCTTGACAACCAAAGGTTCTAACAAGCCTACCAGATGTTGTGTCCAATATGCATATTCTATGATTATTGCAATCAGCTATGACTAAATCTGTTTCGTTGAGAAATGATAAACCTTGTGGATTGTTTAACTGTCCTTCTCCACTGCCTTCACTACCATATGACAGCAGCAAATCCCCCTCCATCTTGAACACTCTGACACAGTTTTGCTTCGAGTCTGCTACAGCAATTTTAGTGTTCGACCTATTCACTGCAATACCTCTAAATTTCTTTGAACCAGTATTTAAGGCGTTGTTTAGCTTTGAATTTGTGGTCACTTCCTTAATGTGTTGTGGTTTGACATCCATCACTAGTGGACTGTTGGATACAGGATTTCCATGTACTTGAACCTCTGCTGTCAACTGACCAGGAACAYGWGGARTRAAGATTACTTTGATCTTGCCGTCAGCAGTCGCTTCTTTCTCTCCAATTGTCACGTCATCTTCAGGAGTGATGTGTACTGTAACGTCATCCAGTTTCGGGTCACAAAGTTCACCTTTATAAGTTCTAAGCGTCACTGTCAAACTGCCTTTTCCCATAGCTTCAAATGTTCTTTCTTTATTAACTTTCAATGAGTTTGGTTCGACTGCTAATGAGCTGTTGTTTGCGTCGACTATTTTGAATGATTGCACAAGTCCTACACCAGTATCCACTTGTCCACAAAGTTCTTCATTAGGTTGAAATTTCATCCGGCCAAAGTCAAATGCGTCATAGTTGAACATTTTCTTGCATTCTGATCGGAGGTCAATGATTTCACTTGCTGTTCCATTTTGTATGAAGTATTTGATGTACTCTTGAGCTGCTTTCGTGTGATGTATTAAACGTAAATTCCTGTCTGCCATCGTTATGCTTTTTTGGATTTCATTTAAAAGTTGCTGTTCGCAATCAGTTAGTTTTTTCACGAGCTTTTTTGATAGTTTCTTGACTTGTTCTTGAGCTTTTTTCCCGTCACGTTTCCGTCACGTTTGATGTCGAGTGCAATTTGTTCTTGTTGTTTCTTTTCTTTCTCGTCAGTATCCATTTTCTCGATTTCTTGAAGATTTTTAGACAGAACTTCTTTCTTAGGAGTGATGAACTCCTGTAGTGACGCTATTTTGTGTTTATTATGTTGGCAATCTCTCAAGCACATCACACAGATCAGCTCGTCGCAGTCTTGACAGTGCCATTCAACATCTTGGTTGGCGTGTGTTTTGCAAGGAYTTTCYTTKTTMAGCATARSCTTRATGTCTTCMTTTGTYAWCTCAGACAAYGCAASAACTTTRTGRTCTTTAGTGAATWKAGWATGAYWKCKYAGACATTCGTCACACAACGASCGATCACAGTCGAGACATTGCCACAATGCATCRCTATGGCTGGCAGAAACCGAGCAAACCTTCTGGTTCTCAAMAAATGACAAGACTTGMAMGATTCTTGAGTGTATRGGACTGATYTSTAAGTCTTCCACGTCRTTGAGTTCTTTGAGCTCGGTTGATGAGTCACACTGAGGACACTYKAAGATGTTGACTTGACCATCAAGTTGTGCATTTGTCTTGATACAAGTCTTACAGAATGTATGAAARCATTGTAATAACTTGGGTTCAAACATTGTCTCTTTACACAGAGAACACTGGACTTGAAGCTTTAGATCCTCGAGAAATAACTCCATTTGGTGATAAAATTGGCAAAGAATCTTCGTGATGTTGAAAATCTTTTCCGGAAACTCGTCACGGAGTTGTCGTGACTATTCACGTGATAATTTTGTCCCGAATTTCAAAAGCTTTATTCATAAACGTACTGAACTAAAATATTCATATTCTTTTAGAGCATTCAAAACTACGTGTATCCTCGAAGTTTAGAGTTCGTACAGCGTCTAGTTACTGGATAATTTACGATTGAATATGTATAATATTTGGTAAAGAAAGAGTGGATTTCGTATGAGTGGGACACCGTTACCGCACGGTTACCGCACAGTTACCGCACCTAGCCTGCAGAATTTTGGTGAAACAATGGGGCACTAGAATTTGGTTACAGTACGATTACGGTCACAGTACTGTACCGTCCGTTTCCCACTCATACGAAATCCGCTCTATTCGATCTGTACTTCCTGAGAGCGGTCTAGATTTTTCTATCTTGACCGCACGCGTTCGGTTAAGAAGGCCTAAATAAACAAATACAAACGACGTTTAGATTTTTAATATTATCAGCTTCAAAATGATGTATATAACGGCTCGACTTAACGAAACACGGAATATGATTTTTTTCCGCGAAGATATAAAGTAAAACATACTTTTTAATTTGACTTT